GGGGGGGGGGGTGACCCGTAGACCGTAGATGACCCGGCGCGGGGAGTCATCGCGCCCTGGTCCCACGATAGGAAACAAGCCAGGAACGTGGGCAACCCAGCGCAGCACTGTTAAATCGCGCCGTTCCCTTTCCTAAGAAATTTTCCAACAGCCCCGCCTCGTCAGCAGCATTGCGCGAAACCCCTCCCGAACATCAGTGCATGGAAGTACTTCGGCGTGCTTTGTTGGTCGGAAATATGCCTTATATGCTTGGCTTGGAGAGAGGGGCATGTGCCAGGGAGGGGGAAAAAAACAGTCACTTGATACCCACTTCAAAGAGACAACGGACACGCCCACCCATGTCTCGGGGCAGCCCGTGCGCTGGTCAGCTGATCGTGACTCATGAGTTCCAGGACGGAACGCGGTACGGAACGCATGGTTTTACTACACCCATACCAAAGACCACAATCAAATTTTCTCCCAGCCTATCTAATTCAAGCTCAAAAACCAAACTGTCCTATACATAGTGTTAAAGTGAAATTTTAAAATGATTTTTTTTTTTTTTTTTAGAAATACCACATTAAATTCATTTCATCAAATTACATACAATTAAGATTTAAATCAGTTTTCCAACAGAGTTAAGACTGAGTACAATGGTGGATAAAATAAGTACCAGAAACAAAGCCTCAAAACCCCAATTCTAATTTAATAAGTTCTTACCTTGCTAATCTACCGACTTGATCTCTACTAAGGATCCCTCCATTCGGACCAAGCAGCACACTCAGGCACCTGAGTAGCTGCATAGGATCTATACGAGGCTGCAACAAAAACAGAAAACATTGTAGACACTCAATTTTTAAAGAAGTACCATGTAGGAGAAACGTATTGATGAGATTTGAGAACACAGATATATGTGAATATATGTATACGTATATAACGTATGTAACATATATATCTTTATTAATTGAAATTAGCCCCATTCCCACCAATTACATGTCTAGTGGCACTAGTTACTTTCACTGAAGCAAAGTTGAAGTAGTAACTGAAAATTGATTTATTCAATGGCTATCTGTGATGAATCCAATCAGCTGTTTGAACAGCTGAAATAAATGTAGGCGGTTCACCCCCTCCCCTCCCCCAATACTTTTCATCAGCGAAGCGAACGGCAATAATGATAGGTGACTCGCCTTCGGCGTATAACCTAACCATCTGGGCCACTGCCAGAAGTAAACCATCTGGTCTTTCTTTTATTTGATGTATGTTGGCCATTTTCTTGTCAAACTTATGTAGCTAGTTGTTATATTACATTGTAATGAGATCAGATCCAATAATATAGTGCTTCAGTCAAATACCGTTTTTTTTTTCAATGATGTGAGAGTTTAATTCCACTCTTTTCGTGTTCACATTCCTACGGATACACTTTTACTAATGTGTGGGGCACAAGGGAAACAACGCCAAGGTCATTTGTCTTTTCCAATATGGGGCTAAGTAATGCGTCACGAGATCATATATACTTACCATATTGACTATTTGAAGAAACGTTCAGGTTGCACGGAAAATGAAAGCCATATATACGATCATTGCAAGACCGCACAACACGAGAAATTAAGATTCAGGCATGAAGGACTTCAAAATGGCTGCCACATGGCTCCTAGCTACTAAGTCGAATTGGTTTCAGATACAAGAAACCGTAACTGAAGGCATCCGCGGCTCACTTTTAAGATAAAGATTTACACAAGCCACGAGGGATGCCGTAGCCTAAATAACTTTCAACTATTAACTTCCCACAAGCAATATGGGATGCTCGTTACTAGCCTTGGTGCCTTGGTTCTCGGGAGCTACTTCATCAAGCTATGGTAAACGCGAAATTGTATGTTTCCGACGAAAGAAATGTTCTATACAAAAGTAATTGTTGAAATAGAAAATGTTTAGGAACAGTAAATGATCAAATACACGACTAAATTGATCTGTGAACAGCTCAAAATCTGCATACAACAATATGAGCTGGCGGTAGCTGTACGCGTTGCGTTTTCTCGTCTCTACCCTCCCGTTCCCGTTTCGAGTCTGCAGAACGGAAGGCGTGTACTCGCACAAGTCAAAACTTCATTTCATTGAGGCCAGAGCGCATGCGCAGTTCACAGCTGTTTCGCAGACAACACAACGCAAAGTAAACATTAGTTGAGGATGGTTATTATTCTTCGCGTATAATAGTATGATGATCCGCGAACGACGAGTTTCAAATTTGAATGAACTAAAATTGGTTTATGCCCTTCTTTGCCATCACACTTTGTCGATTGCTTGGTTCAGAAGTCATTGCACATAACTGCAATGTTGGTCACTTTACTAAGGAGTGCACTCACAAATCGTGGAATAGCCACTCTACATCCGGTCCTGGGGTTGCTTTTTACATTTAATGTTTCAACGAGGACCTTGTTGGTCTTTGAATTTCACACTGTCAATGTTTCAATCACTATAATTTGATCCCGGCAACCCACAACACAGAGTCCTGTCCGATGCCAGTGATAGAAAAGAGACACAGACACCCTTACCAGGCTTCAGCTGACCCTTCTCAGCCTTGTATTTTCGCCGTAGTCGTTTGTTTTCTTTTCGATGCAGACGACATTCCGACTTCAGCGAAAAACGAGGAACGAAAATGCCTACAGAAATCACGACAGGAAAAACAGTGTTTATTTTAGCCGCGGTTGTGGGGTGTTTTGCTGTGCTATGGCCACGATTATTCCATCCAATGCTCCAGTCAGCCATTTACGAAAAAGGTTCTCTTGATAACACTGCAGGTAAGAAAGCCCAGTAGCTCGATGTATTCATAGCCTAAGCCCCTTGCCGGATCTGCATCACGAACTTCAATGTCAGGAATGTCATTCTTTGTCGTTCCTACAATCGTTGAATGGTTCTTAGTAGATCTGGTCGTACTTGTTGCTCTATTCTAGATCCACCACCAATTTACTTCTACTGCTGAAGGGATGTTGATCTTGGGCTCATGCTCATTGTGAATCTTATTGTTACTTTCCAAAAATCTATAACACCAATTTATTAATCACATTCGAAATGATTTAGTATATAATTATCTCTTAACAATCATCTGCAACACAAATTCAACCTTTTTAGTGAAGTATGGAATTTTGCCACTTCAATAGTATAATACTTCACCTCTGTGAGATAATGAAAACCTTTCAAAGTGATGCTGACAATACAGGAATATTTTAACTTAATATTATTTAGAATATGTCAGATAGTCTGAAGTGTACGTATTAATGTCATTTGTTGGCTCATGAGTTTGATGTGATCTTTGCTCATGTGATATACAAGCATTATATTTTCTGTCAAGAAATAATTAAATTTTAAAAAAAAATGTATTCTTCATTTGCTTAAAAAAAGACAGAATGACAGAAACTTTATTCTTGGTATTAGTTCAGATACATTTATCTTAACTTTATTGTTCCAGGATGCTGTGATGTAATTTCTGACATGGATGTCAATGCCATGAGAATATTGAAAGAAATGTGTGGTCGAATTGTCACTAAACATGATGAACTAGATCCTAAATTTTTGTCAGACTTCGAGCATGGGAAAATGAGCAAAGATGTTATAAATACATGTAAAAAGGAGGTTTTGAGCACATGTGGTGTTGACATCACATCTTTTCTGGCAGAACAAGTAGGGCTTGGTCAAACTTATCGTCAAATCCTAGAAAACATAAAGACCTTCAACAATTCTGTTTGTTTGAAACAACACTTCGGGCTTGAAAGAAGTATAGTTGGTGCTGCCAGATATTGGTCACATTCATCACCGAGTAAGCGTAAACCAAAGCAGTGGAAAGGCTTCAAATTAACAACTAATCACATTTTTTTACAATTAACGTTTTTATTTAGAAAATTTTTGATTTCAATGATTTGCAAGATGTTTTTCAGTGCGTGTGAAAAAAACAACTGTTTTTTGCGTGATTTTGGGGGATTTTTTTCTCTGCATTTAACCTTTTAGAATTTTAACTTGGCAGTCTGCACTTATCCTTTCTGGCTTTCTTCATCAGTGATTGTGTGTATATGTATGTGTGTGTGAAATTGTAACTGCCCTTAATTACAATAATGTGCGTTTTTTCCCCCAGAAAACTTGAGGCAAGAACGTCCTCCTCACATGCGCCCAGATCTAGTGCATGCAGCTCTAAGAGAACGTGGAAGAGCCATACCCCAATCCAATGTTGTTCCAAGGATTCTTGAAGGCAGGGTACGTTTAGTATCAAACTGATCCAAGCAGTCTCTTCATAAAAATCCCACTTAAAATCAAAGAAATTTAGAATTTTTGGATTGGACTCAAAGTAGGTTTTAATCACTCTAAATGGATACTAGTCATATAAATTATTGATTATTAATGTACATTGCAAAATCTCTCGACGGTATAATTTATAGATGCCAATGAGCCAGGGCTCTGAGGCTATTTTCAAGTTCTGAGTTGGGCTATAATGAGTTTGGCTGTGTTCCAAGTCTAGCTCAGCTTAGGTGTACAGTATTGTGGCCTTCAAACATGCGGCTGTGACCATGAATAACATGAGTTGCAAACATGCTTATATCTATTTGCTTTCCTGCACTTTATCATTTATTTAGAAATTTTCTCCCCTTTTCTCTGAAAATACAAAGAATAAATTTAAAAATGTTTGTGTAGCTGCCATACATCATGTAAAAGTTGGCTGTTTAATCTGTTAATATTTTTTTCAGCCAGGACCCATTCCAGGGATGCGTCCACCTATGGGAGGAGCAGGACATGTTGTTCCAGCACCCAAAGCAACTCAAGGAGCTCTTGGCATTTTGATGCCTTTGTACACTATTGGCATCGTAATGATCTTTGTTTACACAATGATGAAGGTATCAAAGAACTACCTTAAATGAAAACCATAAAAAATAATCTCTTTATGTAAACTAAAAGTACACAATATTTTAAAATTAAAAATATAGCTCTTAACGAGGAGGAACACTGAGGCTGAGAGTGTGAACAACTTCCAATCAGACCCCAACTTCCGACACTATGTTTTTGCTGATCAACACGGAGGACAGAATGGGACCAACAAACACCGTTATGATCAGCCTACAAAGTTAGGTAAGTAACACACTTTAAAACTTATGTTTTTTCATAATAATTTTTAGTTTCTTTATAAGTTCTACTCCTGTTTGTGCTTGCAATCTGTCAGACTGGAAAGAAAGAGACACAAGTAAGTATTTAATTTTACTCTTACAGCCTCAATGTTCAGCTGTTTTCATGTCCGTGTCAAGAGTTATCTGATAATGCTGTTGTATTATTTCTCAGTCAATCATATATCATTTTCAAGTGATCGAATACTCATTAATGTCCTATTTCATAAAATATTAAATTGGAAAATTATTTGAAACTTGTTTAGCAAGCTGCTTAATCATTAGTTACTATTTAACAGTTTTTTTTATCTGTAGTAGGAAGATTGATTTTAGTCATCTATTAATGTGGGACTTCAATTGGCACCTGACTGCCATTGTAGACCTACTAATGTATAAGATGAAACTTTCCAGGAGAGATTGAAATGCTTATGCTTCGAAGAAGACTTCAAGAAACTGAGGCTGCCATGGAGCGCATTGTAAAAAGAGTCGGCATGGTCCCCTTCAAATCTGAATTTGCTGCACAGGTCGGACATAGATCCAGCTCCGACTCTGATATTTCTAAAATGTTTCTTTTTTTTCCATGTTTTGTTTGACTTTATTTTTTACTCCTATAATTCGGTTGCTAGTTTCATGGTTGTGAGCAAAGCTTCTTTGCATGTTTCCAGTGCAGTAAGCCGAATATGCACTTGCCAGACTGTGTAGAGTATGGTCCCATCCCAGTTTCTTTATTAAATTACAGAGAATGGAAAATACGTGTTCATTTTCCATTTTCTAATGAGTGGCACATGAGAAAAGATTTAGTTTTATAGTACATATAGTCTTACCCAATTAATTTCTAGAAATGAAATTTCCTTAGCTCTGGAGATGCAATGTGTGCTCTCCTGCTTTCTTGGCTCAAACTTTCCCAGATTATTGAGGTGCCTGTCTGTTAACGATGTTTGTCAATGTCTTGCCTTGAAAATTTTTCTGAATAACTTTAACCAACAGCAACTATTTCTCTGTGCCACTTAGTTGAAACAGCAATCTCAGGGTTGTTAGCAGAAGTGGACCGACAAAGGGAGAATGTTGCCAAGCAGGCTGATCAGCTAAGCGGAAAGGTACCGTGGTGTGCCACGCTACATCTTGCTTACAGTTTACTGTTTTTTCATTGTTTTCCGTTTTGCATGCTTGCAAAATATGGGAGTCATACAAGAGTGCATATTTCAAGTGCAGCATACCTACCAACATGATACATGGGAAACCTTTAAATTTAAAATGAATTTCCCATCCCAAATTTTACTTGATTTTTGAGTTACCCTCTCAGATTTTTGTAAATTTGTTGACTTTATATAAATTGTGAAAACTCTTTTTCATCAATAGTTCAGATAAATTGGCATTGCCGCAATATCCCAAGCCATTTTTAATTGACTTGTATGAACTAAAGCATCTGGGAGCTATGTTGTGGTCAGCAAAGCACTCAATTTTATATCTGGTTCTAATAGCTCCTAAAATATTTGACTAAGTTTGTCTTGCTTCCTTATGGTTGCTTTCCAGTGTAGCTTTGCCAAGTAGTAGTTTCAGTCAATCAATCACTTATGCTTTGACCTTACTTTCTATCTTGCAATACTTAAACATGTAACATGTCTAATTTATGTGATTTTTGTTTTACGATTGATGTAAGTTGAATAATAACATTGTTTATCAGATTCTTGGAGTAGGCCCCTACAAATGGTTTCTATTGAGAACTGAGCCTCTGCCTCTATGATCAAGAAATTTTTTTTATCATTTACGCAGTTAACCATTTTAGGTTGTAGGATGCTTCATACCATGCAACTAGCCCGATATTAGTGTGTATTTGTCTATTTCCACAATAGAGCATGGCTTGTTTTCCTTTACTGTTCTTTCTATATCCTTTTTGCTTAATAACAAGTTTGATCATTTTTTTCATGATATATATTATGAACTTTAGGAACTGTAACATTTTTGAACAAATTCTTTAAGCACCTACCTACAAATCTACCTTTAAAGTTTGCTATTCAGCTCTACAGTATAAAACCAATGGTGGTTTCACTTTGCTAGCTATTTTGCAGAGTTTGGGCTACTTACATCATAGCAACAGTCTTGGTGAAGATTTCCGAATGAAGGTGTTACATCCAATCTCGAAAGCTTTTTCTCTCTGAATCCTGTCTTGATTAGTGTTGGTTGGTAAAATGTTAATCCTGCATGATATCTTAACCTAGGTTCATGCTGAGTTGCTGTGCTATAATAGGATTGCTTCTTTCATTGAAGTTTCCCAGTTGCTTATGTTTTGTAATTTATTTGTAGCAATATTAATTTTTATTTTTATTTTCCTTAGTGGTAATTTTTTGTTTATTTTAACTTTTTCTTGTAACTACTCTAACTTCAAACATCATAAATTTTCTTTATATTATTTTAAAATAGAAAGAAACATTTATACAAATCTTCAATGTTTAATGAAATATTTTCTTTTTCCTTATTCATATGTTCTTAATCCATGTCTACTTTTTTTAAAGGGAGAAAATGGACTACAGGCGGAACCAAAGAAAGAGGGTGAAGGGGAGCAGGAAGGAACTAGCGTGAAGGTGAGTACTTTTCATGTTGTACTGTGGAATAAGTTTCTACTTAGTCATTATGACATGTCCTCTAAATGTCTTTAATTCCTAGGTTGTCAATATGGAAACAACTGCTAGTTGTGAAGGTGGTAAACCATGGACTGGAAGCCGCCCCTCAACACCCACTATGCCACGAAGCCGCCCTCCTAGTCGCCCACCTACGCCACTTGAACGAGAGGCAGCTACAATCCCATTACCACAGGATGCTCAGGAGATCTATTTAGAAGGTGCTCTACCATCCCAAGCTCAACTTCTTGTTGCGGAATCGGAAACAGAGGCACACAAGGTACTTAAACCAAATTACCATCTAAGAAGCAGGCATGTCATACGGTGCATCTCTGAATATGCTGGTTTATCATATGGAGGTCAGATCAGTAACCATTCTCATCCTTTCTTCAAAAGTTCAGCATTTTTTCATATTTTTGGCTGTGTGTAGAAATAAATATTTGTCAGTGTAAATTGTTCATCAAATAGTGTGCTTCATATGTTAGCCATTCTTTTCCATGAAATGCTGGAATGTGTGCACATGCAACTGTTAAAAAATTCCATTTTGCTATCAAACCATCACATACTTGGCTTTTAGTGGTGGTGTGAAATGATTGATCATGATAACATGAGTTCTGTGAGTTTCTTGTAACTTCCATAACCCTGCTTGAAGAAGCCTATTTAACAGATCCATGGCATTTTCGGAAATGATAATCTAAAAGGAATTTCTCATCTTAAAATTATAAAAATAAATGTAATGTATTAATATCTAAAGAGTCCTTAGACCTAGACAACAACCAGCATTCTTAATCCTCGTAGCTCATTAATTTGCAAGCAGTTAAGTAGCTAATAGTAAGTCCCCTGCAATATGATTGCAACAAACAGGCAGCACCAGGAGAAATGGAACTGGAAAACAGCAACGATCCTCCAGTTATTCTCAGTGGCAAGATGACATTATCGCTGATTCCTGATCCCTTGGCTCATGGTTCCGATGATGAAAGTCACACAGGGCGAGACAGTGGGCAAGAAAGTGAGCAAGAAGATACACGTGACTCCAATGGCTTGGAGCAGAAGGGTGAGTATGGCATTACACAAAAGCTGGTTGAAGGACAGAGTGGACATATTACCTTAAGGTAGCAATTGTGAGTCCATCAATGATGTACCAAAGGAAATCATTTTCTTGAACTAGCTTAACGCTCCTCACCTTTTAAAATATTGATGGATGAAATTCGAAAAAAAAAATGTCATCAATATCATAAAATATCAGCTCAAAAAATTGGTTTGTACTCTCCTGACAATAGAGTGCTAATTCGTAAATAACTTTCAACCATCATGTGTTCTATTACTATGCTATAAATATAAAAATGAGAAAATGAATGACTTTTTTTAACATGTATTTATTTACCCAGCACATTTTGTCAATTAGGGAAATATGGTACTTAAACGTTACATTAAAAAACAAAATGTATCTCATTACATTGCAATATGCTAAACAGAAAGTAGGGCTTTGCATTCTTGACTTATATGTCATTCAGATATTTTAATTTTCACTAACCCACATTAGCTTCAGAAGCTCAATTCCAGCTTTACTGCTTGTGTTTTACCTTTCGTTTAAAAAAAAATAATGTAAATTTGTGTAACAAACTGAATTGTTCTTGTGGGATTTTATGCATGTCATGCTGTGGAGTAACTGAAAATCAATTCCCACAGTGCATATTTCATTTGTCCCAAAAATTATGATTGAAGTGCCATATTTGCCGGATCCTTGCCTCATATGTGATTGAGAAGGTAGTGGGTAGAGGTACTACATGATGGTAAAAATCTTGGAATCTGATAGAGACCAAAATTAGCAACATTTTTCATTATACATGCCATTGGTTTGTCTTTTATTTCTTACCAACTACGTGTAAAGATAGTGGTTTCAAATTCTTATTTAGAGATCCCCTTGTTTATTTTGATATGGACTTGTTAAGAGATTGGTTGAAAAATTGCTTTCTTAACTTTTCCATAGCCTCTCAGACCTATATTTGCTAGTTAACAAAATAATATAATATAATATTAAGTTGTATGTTAAGATTTAGCTGTGTTGTTTGTTCAGTATCTTGCATGGATCCTAATATATACTCAAATCCGTATGCCTGCATGCATTTGTCTCCTAACATTTTCTAACTTTGCTTTTTACAGTTATGCAGCTTTGGAATTCTACTAACCCAACTCAAGCAGAACTCACTGATCAATCAGAACTTTCAGACCAATTTGAGGACTCTGAGTCATTTGAAAACTTTGATTACTCTGTCAGTCTGAATGTGAATGTTGTTGGACTCCTCACTGACACAAAGGATAAGGAACACTCTAATATAAAACAACAGCATTTTGCTCCTCCTCAAGATTTGTCAGGCAAACCAGTCAAACCTTCACCCAAACAAAACAAATGCAGGAAGCGGGCTATCTCCAAGAATGGTACATAATTTTTACACGTCATCTTTTTGTCTTTGTGAATAAAGTTCAACCGTGAATGGTTGCACTATTTTTACCATACTAGCTTAAGTATGGGCATTTCCTTTTGTTAAGCTCTGAACATTTGACTAAATTTATAAAATGTCTCAATTTATTATTATGATCCTAAATGTTAGCCAACCTTGGACTTAAATTGATTAGGAAGTAAAAAAAGTTACAACAATTATTTATAAAAGATTTTTAAAAAAATTATTATTATTTCTTGGTATTGTTAGAAAGTTTCAGGGTGTGGTAATTTTCTGTTTGCATTTTCACAGGTGGTAGAAGATGAGGTTGCGAGCAGAAATGAAAGTGCAGGACAAGTGGGCCTCACACAAGACAGCATCCAAAATTTCTCTCTTTCCAACCAAACACAGCCAGAACTTCCAACTAACAAGAAGAAAAAATTATCTTTTGCTTTTTGGGGTGAAAAGAGTGATGAAGGCTGTGAAGTAGGAAATGTTACATACAATTCTGAACCTGTTAGTTTTGATGGGAGAAAAGTTTCACAGTCTCTTGAGAACCAATCAATATCTGAACAGCAAGCTCAACTTGAGAAACATGTTCTGCCTATTGACATGGAAAGACTTGAAAAGCTCAAAACTTTGGATCAAAATTATCTTCTGAGTGAAATTGACAACATTATTGAAGAAGCCATTGGATGTGTTCAGCAAGAGCTTCTAGCTAAACAGTACTCAGGTTATGAAGAAGAGGAAGAGATTGGGATGGTGGATGAGGAGGAAGAAGATGAAGGATGCAGTGATGAGAATGATGTTGAAAGTGATATTCGTGATGCTCTTAAAGAAAGTGAGAAAATTCGGAAAGCAGTTCATGAGAAAGTTGAGGAAGTCAAATTGTCCATGGCTTCAAACTCTGATCTCACAGATAATGAGGTAGAAGTGAAGACAACTCAATCAAAAGTTATATTTGCTGACAAAGCCCATGTGATTTCTGCAGACACAGTTAAGAGCTTTCATGATGATGATGAAGAGGAAGTGGAAGTCGGTGAGGTAGACGAAGAAGAGGAAATTGATGATGAGTATGAGGATGAAGAAGTTGAGGAGGAAGAGGTAGAAGAGGAGGAGGAAGAGGAAGAGGAAGAAGAAGAGGAAGAGGAAGAGGGGGGTGCTGAAGATACCATTAATAAAAATGTTGCAAACCCAAAAACATTGGAAGCAAGAGAAAATGTCAATGTGGACCATGATGTAGAATATGATAATGAGGGCGAAATTAATGAAGAAGAGGAGATGGAGGAGGAAGAAGAAGAAGAGGAGGAGGAGGAGGAGGAGGAGGAGGAGGAGGAAGAGGAAGAGGAGGAAGAAGAGGAAGATGGGGAAGAAAAGGAGACGGTTGGGGAAGCTTTTGTTTCCAGTCAGAATGGTAAGGAATAATTATTATTATCTCTAGAGTCCCGCAGATCATACAGATCACATTTGCAGACAAACATGAACATACCGATGGTCACATGGGACTCAACATTTTCATGATGCTAAGAGAATGCCTTTTTTCATGTTAGACAGAATGTGTAATTATAACAATGGCTACACATTATCCTAAAAAGTAAATAAATTTTAATAGACCAATGTCTTCTGTGACTTTCAAAACTTAGAAATATTTGTGATTTGTGGTTTACTAAAGCCTAGACATTTATGATATGTATTAATTTTTAACCTACCAACATGTCAGCTTTGAAATTGTGCCACGGTCTGATAAACTAGTCTTCAATAACATAATGTCTACACCACTGACCAATCAGGTTGTACATACATAATTATGTCCTTTCATACATTAAGTCTGATTCTTCAATCTGTATCGTCCATCATGTAAATTTGTTAATACCTGAAGGCCATGCCCTTGCATATTTTTTCCATTGTAAAGTTTGTAGGTGGCTTTGTGAGTCTTTGCAAGGGGTTGGGAATTCATTACTTTTGCTGGTCGGACATGTTCATCATCAAGGCATAAATTGTGTATTTTGATGTTTTTTATGTTAATTTAGTTTGTATTCTATTAATTGATTGATTGATTGGACCGAAGGGGGAGTGTGGTTAATAATTAGGAATTCAATGAACCTACTTTTGAAGTAAAACTATTTAGAACAAACAGATTTCTGATTTAAGGCTTTTTCAATTATGCATTGTACCCTGGAAATCCTGATTATCGTGCAGTTTGAATAGTTCTTTGTTTGAATTTGAAAACTGAGTTGTGCCAATACGGTTTTCTTTCTTTTTGTAATGAATATGCTGGAAACTTCTTCATATGTTGATTCCAAAGTGAACATTGTCCTCAAATAAATTCCTATTTTTATTCTAGTCTTATGTCAATAAGAACTCAAGTTGGTTCCTAGTTCTAGGGCGAACTAGATTAAAGGCCAGGAAAAATTGATATAAATTACCATACCATGTAGGTGGTTCCTACTCTGCATGTCTTACGGTTGTAGTGTATCGTGAAGGGTGCTCGGGAGTTGCATTTTCGACCATAAAGAGCCGTGTGATTCTTAAGCCAAACATTAGTTAACTTCGCCTGTACGACTCCCTGGCACAATACTAGGTCGTATAAAAAGTGCACGGCGTTAACTAGCCATCGGGTGCACCAATAATTGTAGTTAAAAAATTCCCGTGCTCTAACGTTAATTGCACCAAGTTTCTACTTGTTAAAATATATACTCCATCCGAAAATTTAGCAAGATTTCTTGAGAGTAAAGCAAATGGGAAAAGCATTTTTTTCCCCCAACAGTGCAGCATTTATAAGAAGATTTTCTGTTGTATTTCTAGGTATCCCTCAAATCGACCCCTTTTACATTTCGTAACTTATTTTGTATATATGTAAATTCCGAATGAGTAGTGTAACTTAACTATTCCTTGGTTTAAATTTATAGTGCACGTGTAAATATATAAATAAAGGTGTTTTGCATACAATATTACATAGTTGTCTGATGCAATTGTCTCTTGAGCTCAAATATTAATAACTCAAGACATACCATCCAGTTCTAAAGCTGTTTATTTTCCATGTCTATGTTAACTTTGTTATACATTACACTTTAACGTGAACTCTTTGCTAGGATGCATCTTCATGTGAATCATTAAAAGACATTCCAGCTGTCAGTGTCGAAAATTCGATATGAAGAGAAATACAGTACTTAAAATAGTAGCACATGGTTATGGAAGAGGTTACCATTGAGGCAACAGAAGTGATGATCTGATGAGATTAAGGGAATTGCTGTTTAAGGAAAGAGGAAACAAAGTGACATTCTTCATTTATTTGAATTAGATTCACTGAGTTCTATTTACCAATATTTTTACTGGAATAATAACTTTATATAAGTTGAAGGCTACTGAAGATGGAGGAAGGACTGGTTTAAGCATTACTAAGTAAAGATATAAATTACCATAAACACTAGTCTATATTTTCTAGATCTTGATGTATCAATGATTTAATACCTCATACAGCAAAGTCCATCTCAGAATCTGAATAGAAACAAATTGCAGCTAGTTAATACAGAGGAATGTATGGATAGTTTAGTATAACTTTCTTCATATACATTCCTTTCTTAACATCCAAAAATTGGCTCGACATTAAAACATCCACATCAAATTATTATAAGCTTAGGATCTTGTTCCGTTAAAAGGTAGAGAGAAGAAAAATATTAAAAATATAATGGAAATAAGATGTGCAAGGTTTTGGTAACACAAGCTAGTGTAATGCTTAAACCAAATATAAAGCACAGAATAATACATGAATAGGACAACACCTGGGTTACAATTCAGAGGATAAAAGGACCAGTGGATCTGTCACTTCTGTGACAGTCAGCCTCACAATGGGCGTGGAATAGTAGAACAATACATATTCTAATATGATAGCACCAATGTAGATTCACTACAATAACTCACAGATCAAAAGTTTTGTGCTCAGCTCCAGACAACTACAATTGAAATTAAGGAAGGAAAGTGACCTAAGAGCACTTCCTTCAAACTCATATTCCAAAACCTGGAGATATGGCGCTTAAAGAAACAGATCAAACATGAGGGAGAAAAAACGTGTCTAAATGAAGAAGGTACTATGACAGCTGAGGGTTTTATGTAATGGCAATGAACAATGAAAAAAGAGCATATACTGTAAGAGACATTTGTCAATTGAAATAATAAAATGCCTTGAGGACATTCAATAAATAATATCAACATACTAGCTAGCCAAAACATACTTAATGAGGAGTAGGAGCTAGGTTGTCTACAAAAATGCCCATATCACAATGTTCTAAAAGGACAGTTCCAATGTCCACCCATCACATGTAAACAATTCACACTCAAGTAAATCATTTAATTTCTCCATTACTCCAGATAAATGATGTTATGAATTAAGAAAATCAACTTAGGTATCCAAAAGATGAAAAATTATAAAAGTAACACAGTAGGAAATACTTGAGACGAACCTGCTCATACCATCTGAGTGCAAAAAAGACAGTCATAGGAAATGAGGTTAACTACTCCTATGAATTTTGTTTCAAAACTACACGTGAGAAACAAGAAGAAAAGCCCCCCTCCCTCCCCCATTTTTAATTACTGAAACAAATGAGTTATAAATTAAAAATTCTTCCAATTCAATTCTCAGCAATGGTGAGACATAACATTACACTCATCGCTTTCTACCTTTAGAAAAAAAAGGCTAGTTCAAAAGTCAGATGGTAGAGGTGGGAACTCCCAATTCCGAATTTGACAGCAAACAAACAAAATTGATTTCCATCCAGGATTCCACTCCTACACAGATAGAATCATCATTGAAGTTAAATTTTCACACAACTATCGAACATATAGCATATTTATCACTTAATTCATGGTTAACATTAGAAAATTCTACATCTACACACATTAATTTTCTCCAACACACCAAAGCTTACAGTAATAACTTATCATAACTTGAGGCATAGTTGCATGTCCTAAATGAGGGAGCAGAACTTGCTTTAAATGCTGAACTAGCCAGGGCACTACAGAAAGACCAGTAACAAAATATTGTTAAAAGTTATATTGAAATGTGAAAAAAGAAATGGAGTAGAGAAATGAGTACGATGCAAAAAACAAACAAACAGAGTTTAGGAATAAATTGCGATGATAACTGCCATCAGGACAGAAAGCCACAGAACTAATAATAAAGCCAATGCCATAATCACAAAGTCACATAGCCTACACATGAAGTTACCTAGTGATATCGTGCCAAATAAATTAGATGAGAAGCATCAACTAACATTTGAAAGAAAAAGAAAACACCGGCAAGAGAAAATAAAACTAATGGGCTCCATCAGAAAAAATTGAGATAAAATTTACAATTTGCCTGTATCACACTGTGGGCTCTTTGATATTCAAAACAGATAGAATTTGGTCCAGCTCTACCTGGAATAAAACCAGAACAATAAGGAAGGATTTCGAAAAGTTAGACATTGAGTCACTACAAAGCAACACTCCAACCAACTCACGTCAATAACTTATTTCTTTTATCAGCCTCAAAATTTCTCTTCTTCCATTTTTTCTGAGTCCTCTTGTAGAGCTTCTATCAGATCTTCAACGCAGCTATTTGGAATTAATGTTCCTAGAAGACAAAAGCACCAAATAAAAGTTGTGTACACTGGTTAAAAAATAAAGAATAAAATAAAATAATTCAATTCAAAATTAAGGTAAAAATGTTCTTACCAACAATTTTCAGCCCATCACTGGCGCGCATGCGCACAACCTGCATTTTACTGTTATGTCCAGTTCTACTGTTGAGGAGATCTTCTACTTTGGTCCACACACTAAGCACACACCCAGCCAAGACATTGTAAGTTCGACGCCGTAGTCCAATTTCACAATCCATGCCCAAGGCAACATTCTTACAATTTCCTCGCCTGAAGGGAGACAAAAATAGATCATGCCATTAGTACTTGGTTACCATGATCAGATAAAAAATTTGACAGTACTTCATTAAAACACACCAGTAAGCATGTGAGCAGGTTTTCTCAGAAGAGTCATACTGCTGAGTCCAATGTGGCTCTGCCTCATCCTTGGAGACTTTCTTATACTTCTTCTCAAGCTCTCCAAGTGTTTCTTGCTTCAATTGAAGACCGGTGTTTGGTCTATAGACAGCATACAGAGTGTCTTTTTCTTTGGTTCCCTTTTTCTTGTTATTGGGGTTTGACTCTACTGCAACAGCTAAAATGGCTGTTTGTTTTGAATTGCGGATCTATTTAGGCAAAGGAAAGAACATAAATAAGAGAAAGCATTTACATAGCATTGAAAAGAAGAGTGAAGCAAAACTTTGCATACTTGGTGAGAAAGGTAAAAGCCTTCTTTCGCTCCAACCAGTTCTTGGTACTTTTCCGTGACGTCAGACCAAGACATGCCTCTTTCAACATGAACAATATGGAGTTGTGTAGCCGCAGTACCAGTTGCATGCTTGCGTAGGAACGTATACACCTTAATTCTCTTGACATTTTCACCAGATGCACCAAGGTCAAGAATACCCAGATCAAAGCGACCTGTTTTCTTAGCATCGCTAATAATGGCTTGAAGTGTGTCAGTAAAATACTTGAACAGTCTATTTTGCAAGTCTACTGGCATTCCTAGGATTCTAGAAAGAACATTTGACATGAAAAATAGTTAGGGAAATAATAGTATAAGAGAAAAAGGCAACCTACTTACCTATTGAGGAATTTACTCATGTTATTGTAGTCTTTGTCCAACATGAGAATTCCAGGCATATTTTCACTGTTTGTGATCAGCCCCACACCAACTAATGCATCGGCAACATCTTTGAAGAAATCTCCTTTGTAATCTTGAGGAGGGGGAACACGAGGCTGCTCATAACCCATGATGGCTTTCATAGTGGCCTCCAGAGCTTGTCTACCATACTTGTTGTCAATATTGAATCGGGAGAGATCACGAGTTTCAGTAGCTCTTCTGTCTCCATGAGTCAATGCACCCTGAATGAACAAAAAGTATGTAATGAAGATAGGGTCTAATTACCTACAGGCAAAAACAAGTTAACACACATCTTACCAGACTTTCCAAGCGCTTGGCAACAATAGAAGCAAATCTTCTTTCACCAGCCAAATCAGATATAAGGAATAAATATTCTGGAGCATTGACTTGATTACTTCGGTGAGTGCGTCCTAAAGAAGAACAAACATGAATACTGACGCAGCTCTAAAACTGAATGGAAAATAGGCTAATCACTTATCACATAGCTTACCAAACTGCTGAATAGCTCTATCAGCACTCCATGGTAACTCTAGGGTAATGTGAACCCGTCTCCTCTGATTACGAGCTCTCCTGTCACTCTGTAATGAAATACCACTGCTCGCAGCTTCAGATATAATGGCAACATCTTTCTCTCCATCCATAAATCTCTGTTTTTCAGTGAGATTTAAAGTTTCAAGAGGAACATCAACCTCTGATCGAGATTCATACTGTATTCCTCCATCTGTTTGGACAACACGTCCTTTCCTACCAGTCATCTGTGCAAAAAAATCAATGTAAAACAAGAGAACCATAATTCTAGCCTTCTTATATAGTAGGGCAGCAGTAGGCTTACTTCTGCAACATTTTCAGGACCGCCAAGCTCATCAATCAGTTGATCTAAGGTGTTCGGAGGTAGACGGTCACCTAACTCCTCAATGTCAGCCAGTAGCTCTTCCTTCATGTTGCAGGCATGTTCAATAGCATCTCTGGGAGGAGGGGGAAGCCCGGCACCAAGTGAGTTACCATTTTTGTTTCCCTCTTCACGCTTGGCCTAAAGATATAAACACAAATTGGTTAAGACATGTAATAAATTAATGTATTAAAGATTTCATTATTGATAAGTCTAGCAAGGGATGGACACTGTTATACCTTTTTGTGAGCTGATGATTTTTGTTCAATAAGCAAACTTATTTTGTCTTGCGTTGACGAAGGTTTTTTGGCTGCAGCTTTACCCTTTCGTCCCTTTTTTTTACCCCGTCCACCAACCCATGGATCTAAATATTAACAAAAATGTTAAAACAAAAAAAACACCTCAGCACACTCACATGTACAAACAAGTATAATACCTCCATCAGAATCACTGTCATTAAATGGATTAAAATCACTTGAAGCATCACTTGCTTCTGAGTTGCTTTCACTTGCAGCAGATTCAGATGCTGATAACTGAAATTCGGCGTCTGATCCACTTTCATTATCTGACCCAGAATCTGAGGACTCAACTTTAACTCTTTTTGATGCACGCTGCGCAGCTCTCCTGACTACATTACAAATCAGTTTCAATCACAGTAAGACACTACACACTCAAAATCACAACTACTAAGGAAAAACAAACCAGGCTTTCTTTTCCCACTGGAACCACCAGCTTCTTCGTCATCATCATCAGACTTTTTAGACTTTTTGTCTTTTCGAGGTGGAGACAAGCCCAAAAGCCTTAAAATTCTGCTACGATCAGGAGCTGGGAAGTGTTTTTCTACTAAGGTTTGAAGTACACCCCTGTAAAAATTCATGGAGTCAGAGACACATTTTAAACCCCTAGAAAAGAAAAAGCTACCATCAAATGGAAAAGTGGCGTACTTTGCTGTGGAGACAAAATCAGACAGTTCTCCATCATCCCTTTCAATTTGTTCTAAAGTTCTGGCTTCTCCAGTTGATTGAAGACCAATCACAACACATTTCCCACACTTGACTGCTTCTCTGAAACACATAATTAACAAGGCGAGTGTTAAATCAAATAAGATGTGTGATTTAAGAGTCAAACACTTCAAATATCAAATTTACCTTGCAACAGAGACCGCAAATTTGACCTTGGCAGCAATACACAGGTACTTAAAGAATCGTTGGTGAGCAGACCAAAACTGTCCCCACATCGTCTTTTTCATCCTACTCTCTGCGTCAATTAGTTCAGCTGCTTCAGTAAACTTCTGCATAGCTCTGACCCACTGAAAATTTCAAAAGTGGGTTACATAACTATTGAAACACAAAACAGAAGATTTGCACATGTACTCACCAGCTTCACTGAGTCATCATAAATTTTAATAAAGTCATCAGATAGATGAACCTCTTCAATTTTGAAAGAAACACCATGAAAACTGAGTTGTCTGGCAATGTACATTCCTCGAAGTTTCATATCCATGGCAACAATTTCCATTGCTCCAACTCCCCTGAAGAGGTGACATTTTACGATGTAAAGACAAAGCAGTTACTGCGAAAGTTGAAATGTGTAATAAGGTACAATGAAAACAACTTGCCTTTTCTCAACAGCATTAATATACTCATTGAAGTCTTTGAAGGCAGTTCCCTCGCCCCAAATACCAAGACGTGTCATGTAAGCCATGTTGCGAGGCTCTGAAGCACCAGTGGCAGATGCATACACCACACGGGCCTTCGGGAGTTGGTTCTGTATTTCTAATACTGTCAGACCAGTTTTAGTGGGTTTACTTGAACCCACTGGACATAAATTCTTTGCCCTGTGACATTCATCAAAAATGATCTACACAGTTAGTTAAGGAATAATTGATTTGAGAATAAAATTTTAAAAAGATCTTCTGTTAATCATAAAAGGATACACATCCATCAAAATTGTCTCCACACCAATCAATAAGCTGCTTCAATCTTGACTTATATTTCCCAGAAGTCTGAGATGACTCTCCAATAAGTGCAGAGTAGGTGGAAAATATAACACCTTCCTTTACGTTGCCATTAACACTAGATGAGATCTTGGCATATTTAAACTGGAAACAACATGAATTAAAATTAAAATAAGATGATTTCAGTTCAGAATAATGTAAATAGACATATGACAGAACAGCAAACCTTGTTCAAAGGATGAACATCAATTTGGCCAGCACCAATGTCTTTTAAATCTCTTTCAGAATCATATTTAAGATCATTAGAAACAGACACCCAAATGGCTTTCTTTCGACCCTTTAAGTGGTTCTCATATATCACCCCAGCAATAGTTCTGCCTTTTCCAACACCAGCACCATCACCTGAAAGACAACCATGAGTATAGGTTGAATTTGCGATCTCACACAATGCAAAACTAGATTGACACATTCCACAACATACCAATGAGAAAACCAGCTCTGTTACCATCGGGCAAGAAATGTTCATGCTGCTGGCTGGCATACACAATGGCTTCCAGTTGAAGAGCTGACAATGAGCCAGATTTAACAGTTGAGTCTGGTAAGGATAGTTTGTACCAGACATCTGCCGGTTCTACACTTGACAGCGAGGCAGTTTCAACAACAGGATCCGGATGCTTCTTCCCCAATTTTACTGAAGGAGGTAAAATTGAAATTATTTGATGAGAAAGCCGTCATTTTCCCTAATTTCTAATGGTCAGTACTAACATTTGGTAGGCATGTAATCAGCATATGTTTCAGCAACCCCCATGTCTTCATCCTCAACTTCTTCCTCTTCTCCAGCAGCCATCTGAACGTCGAAAAATTTCATATCAGAGTCAACTAGGCACAAACTTAAATTGTTGAAAAGAGAGGGCACAAGTTAGTCCCATGTAGAATAAAAATTACAACCAATTCTCACAGAACACACTTTGGCATTCCCTATCGCTTTGTATAACCACAAAGGAACACAGCATACCTCATTTAAAGTAAAACAAATAAAATAAAAAATACTAGGACGGGAATATTTGACGATCGAAGGAAATAATGCGAAAACAAAAATCTTTCGAGAAAAGAACATGTTTTAGTGAAGAAATGTGGAAGATGCAACTAAAAGGGCGGGAACACTGATGAAATAACCAAGATATCGCATTACAATGAAAGGTGTCACATCAACATACATAATTGAAGTAGACTGATCCTGGTGGACCCTGAGGTAACCGCTTCTTCGACTTTTTCTTTCCTTTAGACGGACGAGGGGGTCGCACACGTTGCCTATTGGTTATGTCCCACATGAAACTCATGGGTAACGATAAGTTCTCATCGTGTTCACCGAACATTTTCGGTTTGATGATGGACACAAGAAGTTAAACGAAAAATGGGCTACGCTAAGCGCGACACACAATTTATCTTAACCAGTAAGATAACAGGTGCAATAGCCAAGATCGGCTCAAAGCGCCGCAGGTCAGAACTTGTCTCGCCGAAAGTCGCCACTACGCGACGTGCACCGAGTGCCTCCTGCCTTCTGACTGACTGCCGTCGCCCGCCGCCCGCCGCCCGGCCCGGCGCGCGCTGCTGCTGCAGCCCCACCTACCCCCGCCGGCCGGCTCCGGCTAGGGGGTGGGAGGGGGCGTAACGTGGGCCAGGCGTGGTGGGGGTGTTTGCGCGCCAACAGTTCAAGGCACGGTGTAGAGAGATCTCTCCACAACGTGAGTTTTAAGGTTACCCTATATGGTCAGAAGAGGTGCGAGGCACTCCAGTAGCAGATTTGACATGTTTAAATACTCGAACCAGCGAAAGAATGCTCTTGGCGTAGCATGGGCTCTTATGGGCGGCCACAGCAAACCCAGGAGCATTCTGTCTCCATAGTCTGTGTAGACTATAGCTTCGCTGGTTTGAGTATATTGACACCACCTTCCAGGGAGGGTGCAGATCTGGCAAGTTGAAGTAATGCTTTTGGAAAAGATAAGGGAGGGGAGAAGGGAGGTGGCAAAGATAATAGATAGATAGATAGATAGATAGATAGATAGATAGATAGATAGATAGATAGATAGATAGATAGATAGATAGATAGATAGATAAAAATAATAAAACTTACCTTTTGGTCATTCATCCACATCATATTTTTCCCTTGAAGAGCAGGGTTCCAGTTTCCTTGCATCATGGGCCCCATGAATTGACTCATATACGGGTTTGTTGACATATTTGGATTTGTCATCATGTGCGCCATCATTGTGGCAAAAGGTGCATTAACATTACTCATATCCATACCCATCATATTTGCTGTAACAAGTACAGTATAATGTTAAGATAACTCTTGAATGCATAAAAGTAGAGGTCAATCTTGCTGATATACAAGACAGGACAACAATACGGATAACCAACTTCATACAATTCCAAATTTTCCAGATCTCTTTATCCCTAACATGAGACAAAATTAGAAACAGAACATTGGAATTCTGTAACTAAACAAGAATCCAAACAACTTTAACTATTGCATCTTACCCATGTTAGCGAAGGCACTAAAATCCATGGCTGGCATGCGCAGATAAAGTTCAGACAAATTTATAAGACTCAGTAGGGATAAAACAGGCACACTATCAGGTTGAAAGACATTTGGACCACAAAAATTGGTTGTTCTATGGAATGAATTAGCGAATTGCAAAATAGGATCACATGCAATAACTTAGTCAACACCAACTTTGAATCAGGAATGGAAAATTAAGTTCTTGTTCCGTGTCATTTTTCTTAATTTACTTAGGAACGCGTAAGCCAAAAAAGGTAGTAACACAAAGGAAAAGAAAAAGTGAGCTACAGTTAAATTCCTGTCAATTCTTTTACCAAATTTTCACAACTTTAAGGACTTTTTTGCCAAGGAACAGAAGGTGATGTTCTTTCTCTCTAGAAATGAATCATTTCTTGTTCAAAAAACAAGTCTCTGGAGGAGTTAAAATTTCAAGAAAGTTTTAATGGGAACTAATGTTTTACATTTAGTTCATGTAGTCATTTCCTTGGCTGTGTCATTCGTGGGTAAACAAAAACGAATAATAAGGAAACATTTGTCTAAACTTGCCATCCCTCATTTATATTTGCTTTTTTGACATAAAGAATTTTTGGAATACATGCAACAACCCTGCATAATTTTAGTAGTTATTTTAACTTGAGAATATAAGGAACCCAATATGTGATTAAATCTAAAGGACTTTCAGAGTGCAACCAAAAATATAAAAACTAAGTACATAACTGCAATACAAAAACACCATGTATAATTTCTCTTTCTTAAATCTGTTTCGATATTAAAATTTAGAGCCAACACCTGATAAATTTATTAGAACAACATCCCAAAATTATAGGAAGTTCTAAGATGTATTCTACCCTACAGGACTTCACCAGTACAACAGTAATGATACTTACATTGCAAAAATGGATGGTTGAGCATTCCACTCATATTGCCTGCAGCTAAATTTGCACTTGCGTTGCCAGCAACACCAGACAACATTCCAGGGATAAAGTTGTTCATTACATTAGGTGAAAATGAGGGTATGTTAGGTCCTCCTGAACGCATGGTTTCAAAGCCCAATGAAGTACCTTTCGTGATGAGGCCACCTGGTACTTTAGCACCAGGAACATTTGTAAAATTTCCTAGGAACACAAGATAGCTTAAAGTGATAAAGAAACAACAGAATGATGATTTAAAATACATCACACTTCTAAAACAAAACAAATAGTTGTTTGTTTCCATACAAAACGCTATCTTATATTTCCCCACACCAAACAACTTCGATTAAAAAAAAAAAAAAAAAAAATTAAAGACGTAGAGAAAACAGCTAAGGCAAGCGTATAGTTTGAAACTTAAAGCCAAGAAGCTGGCAGGCAAATAAACAAAACTATGACCAACGATCATTCATTAGGCAGAAAATGTGTTAGTTGAAGTAAAGGTGTATTAAAATTTGTACATAAGATAGAACTAAAATAAAACCAAATAACTGAAGAAGCCTCAATCTCTTGAAATGAGAGAAGATTAGACAAGACTAAACAAAAGTTACATGGGAAGCAAATTTATTAAATATTGAAAATAGTTAAGTTACTACTGGATGAGCTAGTCGAAGTACATGATCTCAACTGGAGAAAACAATCATAACATCATTTCATATTATGTAACAGACATTGATTGAAAATGAAAAAACACAATAGAGTTAGGGTAATAAAAGAGAAGTTCCACATCCAGGCCACAAAAGCACTCAAATCTCACATTACAAGCATATAAATGCAAGCCAAGCAATCTATGAAATGAAGAAACAAACAAGAAAATGTAAAATGCTTGAAAAGCTTGTTAGAAAAATAATTTCAGTAAGAATGAGAAAAGCTACAGGTATAAAGTGCTGAGAGTTGTTTTAATTTTAACTTATTACCCATTTTGAGGGGAACCTCTCTCTTGATTGTTTTCATTTCATTTGGATTTCCCATCAATGGTGAAATGTTCTCACTTTTCAAAAGAGAAGTGCCACCCTTGACTACTGGCAAGGTGCTTGAGGATCCCAGCTTAGGCACTATAGCATTGCTTGGAACAGATGTAGATGACACAATGTGAACATCGGGATCTTCCTTTTTCACAACAACTGGGCCATCTTTATGGGCGCTGACAGTTGTAACTGCTGTAACAAGATCCTTTCCACCCCCTGAAAGAAATGAAACATTGCAGATTCTGGAAGGAAGATAAATTCAAAACAGTGACATGTACAAATGAAGATTGGTAGACTACCTGGAACTTCAATTTTGTCTGGATCCTCATCTTCATCAAAATCACTATCAGAATCGGAAGGACTGTCACTCATTTCTTCTTTAATGGCCTTTTTCTTGCTTGAAACCTAAAAGTAAAATGAAATTTAAATTACGCACAAGCTGAGGAAATTGAAATTTCACTAATAGGAAAATGGTAAAGGTTTAAGGTAGGAAAGCTGCCGTTCAGTGATACAAAATACAAGAACAAGAATCTTTTGAAAAGAATAAATTTACTTCAAATGTATAGATTTGCACTAAGGAAGGCCACCTAACCTGCTCATGAAACAACAACAAAAACAAAACAACCTCCTCTTCGGTACAAAGAAAGGAATGCAGCACACTAGGAGTACCAGTTAGGTATAAAATTTGGTGGACAGTACTGTGGACAGGCAACTCTGAGCTGACAGTACTTAATGTTCAAGGAAACAAGAAATGTGAAAACAGTGATACATGTTGGAGGTTATGCAAGTAGAGCAAAAGAGCACTGCAGTTTTGGAGATAAATAATTGATTAACTCAAAAAGATAAATAACTGATAGAGAATAAGAGGACACAGAATTTAATCTTAAGATAGAGTTACACAACTTCTTAAGAACAGTAAACAGAGAGAAAACCTTGGACTAAGGGTAAATTTCTCAGCAAAAAAAAAAAGTTCACTTCTCAGTTGATACCACAAATTTTCCATGTACATATGGCTACCATTAAATCAACAACTTCACCAAAGACTTCCAAAAACCACAAATGAAATTTATTTTCTGAAAACACCATCTAAATAGAAGCATATCAATGGTTGGAGCAGAAAGATACAAGTGAATGGAGTGATTTTTTTTTTGTTTCAGACAGCGCGAGCCGGTGAACATAAATAATGGCTTAAAGATCGACGCATTTGAAGAAAAAATGAAATGTTTACAACGAAAAGGGAATAAAACCACCACTCGCACTCAGTTTAAAACTTAATTCCAAAATACATGCCAAAGTTTACGTCAATATGAAGCCCGTCAAATACTCTGCTCTCCCCAGCATCAGTGCACACTAACTTGAAAGAGGGCCTTAACGCACTGGTATTGCCACCAAAAAAGGAAGATAATAGCTCAAAGGTTATCTTTTCGACAATGTCAGTCATAAATTTGAACAACAAACTCACTGTTCTCTTTGTACGCGGCATTTTCGGCGTAAATAATGGCTATGTCTTCGGTTTCTGCACTTCACACTCCCGCCATCTTGATTTGGCTCCCTTCTCCTTTCAAGCTAAGGCGTTGACTACGCATGCATCTACTACATACTGGTGGCATTTTCCGGCATTTTTATTTCAAAAAATGCAGCGCGTCTGAGGCTGTAATGTGACATGGCCGAGAGAGAAAAGCATGTCAAGCGAAGTTTGCGTTTCAGCCTTCATACCGGATTAAGTCTGTGATCGCTCCGGCTTGGTGCGAATTAAATTTCAATTATTTCAAACCCGCAGAACCATTCGACCGCGTGCCGTCGGTAGTCTGCTTCTCTGTTCAATCATGGTGTCTTTTGTTTTCATATCAACCAATAACACAACAGCTAGAGAGTTGGTGTTGTCGCCAATTTGTTTATCGTTTGGTTTGGTTACTAATTTGTGAACAACAGTTGATGAACACATGACCGACAGACAAATTGCCGTTTCTATACCGGCTCAACGTGTTCTGCTCCTCAGGAGTAATGACAGTTCATTGATATCTTGCCCTTGCCGCCACTTTCCTCTGAAATCGTGAAAAGCTTCCCAGTCCCTCCAATGGCGGAGACTCCAACATACCTCCCTGTCAAGCATGTTGTGATATTATCCTCTTGCTTCACTCTCATCTCCACCTAAAGTAATTGCCCTGGCTTTAGTCCGTCAGTCTACTCAAGTTCCAGTGAAGGCTGTGTGAGGCTTCCAGTATGCGGGGTAAGTTGTTCATGGTGCAGAAGCATGTGTTGATGGTCATGTTTGGAGCCACCGACGCATCGGGCAAAGTGACATCTTCTCTTTCTAATGTCCTTGTCAACTTGGAAAATCGACGCGCCTTAGGTTATCAGTCAGCCTTGTATCGTCCCATCACTACTTTGGGTTTCTCAATTGATCCTAATTTAGGGTTCGTAGACGTTGTACTTTTGAGGTTATGGGATTGTGTTTGGCGCCTTCTGTTTTCTCCGTCCGTGTTTTTGTATTAATGTGCGTTTTTTATCTGAAAGTTTAATACATAATGTGGGGTTATTCGCTTACGCTTTCATCGTGTGATCAAATTATTTTTACCGGATTCTCAATCCTATTGCTACCTGTTTACAGCCATTATATCACTTGTACTTTTTTGAAAAGAATTGTATTGCAGTGCTCATTTACATAATGTTTCCATTGATTTTCCGAGAGCCTTTAAATACCTATGCTCTTGTATGCTCACGTTTTTTGGTACTAATTATCACCAATATGTTTTCCCATTTTTTATACATATAAATTCTATACTTATCCAGGGAAAAGAAAGGGACGCGGTGGTTGGAAAGGCCCACCAGCTGCAGGTGACCTACCCAGCGATTCACCCAAACGCAAAGATTCAAGAATTGAATTTCAGGGCCTTCTTTCTCATGCTAGCCCTCCAATCACCAACTTTTTCCATCCTCAGTCAAAAAGCTTGACCACATGTGAAAAACATGAGATCTCCGAGGAGCCAGAAGTCTTAGATAAACATACTTCTGAAAATGTAAATCAAACTGCATTGGTTTCCAATGGAGACCCTGTACAGATTATTAATGCTGTGGTTTCTGATGAGAAATCTGCGCAAGGTAAGGTTTACTCATAAATTTGTAGTCAGACTTCATACGCTGTTGGAGGTATACTTTTTCAAGTATGTTCCATTTACTTGATATCTCTCATGCCAACAGTTTCTGATACAGCAAATCGTGTTGAGAATGGGTTGGAACAAAGTTTGAGATCACCATCCCCTGCAACACCTCATAAAATCGTATTTGATGACGCTCAACCTCCACTTTTGTCACCATCAAGTGCTCTGTCTCAGCTGTCTATTGCTAACGGGGCTCTTAAGAAAGCTACTAAATCCCGCAGGAAGTGAGTTCAGTTGAACCTACCTTTTTTTTTTCTTGTTAACCAATATTACTACTTATTCTTTGATGTGCCTCATTCTCTCTTCCTCTCTCTAGACTGAATCCTAATCAGACAGCTAACCAACTAGCCCCACCATCAGCAGCGGGAGCCAAACTGACCTGTTGTACCAAAGTCAAAGCTTCCACTGTTATTGACACAGGCAAAGCCAGTTCTGCAACAGCAACTACCATTACCAATGGATCTCAACATAAACTGACAGACTTCTTTCCTGTAAGACGCAGCGTTCGCAAAACAAAAAAGACTGTCTTGGAAGAGAGACAGAAAACTTTAGAAGAAGCAGTTCTTATGTGCAAAGAGGAAGGCTTGCAGGTAATAAATAGAAATATCCGGAAATTTTTATTGAATCCTAAAATCTAGAGTGGTTGTAAGTGGATTTATGTGTTAATTTCAGATTCACAACTTTGAAGGGAAAGGCCGTGGCATAGTTGCTGTGAGGCCTTTTGTTAAAGGAGAATTTGTTGTGGAGTATGCTGGTGAGCTCATTAAAATGGATGAGGCTAAAGAAAGGGAAAAACTTTATGCACAGGATCAAAACACTGGTTGTTACATGTACTACTTTAAACATAAGAATCTGCAGCTGTGGTATGTATATTGTATCAAGAAAATCATTTGTAATAGATGTCACCTATAATGACATTTTCTTGACTCTCTTATAACTTGCAGTGTGGATGCCACTCCAGAGTCGAATCGATTGGGGCGGTTAGTGAACCACTCTCGCAATGGAAACCTCTTGACCAAAACCATCACATTAGATGACACACCACGGTTAGTTCTCATAGCTAAAGAGGATATCCAACCAGGAGACGAGGTGACTTATGATTATGGTGACAGAAGCAAAGAGTCTTTAAAGTACCATCCATGGCTGGCTTCATGATTTGCTTTAGATACAAGAGGGTTGAAATTAGATAAAATGTTTTCCGTGTTATAAGTGCTTGCATAGGGCACCTTCTTTGTTTTGTCAAGAAACCAAAGCATTCCCAACATGTAAATAAACTATATGTCCTTCTGAACTGTGAGAAAGCTGATATATCTGTGTGTACCTAAATTGTACTGAAAGAATGTGGATGTGGTGCACAAATGATGTACTGTACAATGATATTTTTAATCTCTAAATAACTTCTCTATCTATATTTTACTTTGCTGAGTACGTAAGAGCACATTTGTTGCTGTGTAATATTTTGTAATATCCATTTTTATATGAACTCATTTGGTCTTTCCCCTGGGGTGTAGATCCCTGCTGTCAGAAATGATAGAATTTCTTGAATTTCATGTGACTTAATTATGAACATGAAAACATGTATAACATCTGGAAATGCACCTAGGTGGAATAATTTATTACTTGTACTGCATGCAAACTTCACATTGAAGTAAGTGACCTATTTTGACTGCATAATATTACCCACCTTAGTGATGCATTGATATTTATCATTTCAATTAAATGGAACTCTTAACTTAACTTCTTTATGGAAATGAATTAATTGCCGTTACATAGGTAATAGTTTCACATCTCCAAGGAAGACTTTTCTAGAGTACTCAAATAGTACTTGTATTTATGGCCCAAAATACTTAGATATTATCTCTCATTTCTGTGTTTATGTCCATTTTTATTTTGTCGACAGCAACTAATTGTTTTGTTTTTCTGGGCAAAGATTGTTTCAGTTGATCCCTTATGTGATGTGGTAAATTGTTATTTTATTGTTTGAAGTTCCTAGCTTAATCCTGATTTTTATGGATAGACCTTAGTTCAATTTTACCTAATTTGTGAGGTCCAGTTGGTTAAAATCCTTAAGTAAATGCCACCTTTATGTACAACAATAGAGGGCCTAATGAATGCCTCGACAAGCAATAACAAACTTGATGAAGTTAGTTTAGACTGCAATTAAGTGCAAAAACAGTGGATTGATGCTTTTGTTTTGCTTGATTTAACAATCTCAGTATTAGCTTCAGAAAGAGAAATCTTTGTTTATGTCTGGAGCATTTTTAAAACCAAGTTTTGTTGTTTTCCTTTAAAATGATGAAACTTATGTGACAAATTTGTACGTAGGGAACTTATTATGTGCCTTCTGGAATAAAAACAAGGGTAAATTGTAGGAGTGTACATTTTACAATTTTTTTGCAAAAACTTACGAACAGAAGTTTTTTTCTTTGTTTCGAAACTTATTGGTTCGTCAGTAAATTTTTAAATCCGTGTAGATCCCTAGCTTTTTATTTTCATCTAAACCTGGTAATCTGAGTGGGCCAAATAAAAACTTGTATTGCTACTAAGAAACCTGTTGAATATTCCTACATTCAAAGTGTATGTTTGTTTCATTGGTAGATTCTTTTGTGTTGCTACGAGTCCAGAGAGCTATGTATTTGTTGAAAGAGAAATGTGTTCTGTGGTAACTAACAAATTTCTAACCCTCATATGAAAGCAAACTGGCCACAGAGGTGAACCTCAATGTCTTATCAAATGTGCCTTCACTGCTATCAAATCATCACTTGTACATATTGTGTGCACATGGGCTTGTGTTGCCCACAAACAATTAATATGTATTTTCACATGTTTTCAATACAATCATTACTTCTTAATGTAGCATTGTTAATGTCTTTTAAGCCTGTTACTTTGTGCACTGTGAAATATTTTTTGTTTAATGTGACTTTTTAACTTTATATTGTGCCATTCAAAAGCAAAACTTGTCAGCTGTATTATCCTATTTTGCTGCAGTACAAAAGCATGTACTCTTCTTGTGTTTTTATATCAACATGAAGGCCAGTACTCATTGTAAATGATGACATCAGTTGAAATTCAAAGTCTGAGGAAACTTCTTTTGTAGTATTTCCCTAAGGATTGAATTCACTTTTTAAAAAATTTCAGAAATGTCTTTGCATGAATAAAGGACCGCAATCCTTGTAGATCAGTGGGCTATATACTTGTTAAACTAAAACATTCTATCCCTCTCCAAACTTAGGGTACTAGGCTATCAGCAAGCCTGTTTTGTGCTGTAAATACTTCTGAATCTCAACTACAGATGGCATACTACCATTGTGTCGATGGTAATCTGTAGCAGTGAAATTCTCTGGTTTAAAATCAGTCTTTCTTCACTATAAGAAAAACTGTTCTAAACAAGCTAATCTTAATTTTAACACACTTTAGGTTAATCCAGAGCTAATCAGTTGCACTGCCATTTATTTGTTCAAGGCTAGCTACCAAGACTGGTTCTTGAGCATCGTTATTTAAAGCAATGAATATCATCTATAATGTTTTTTGTAGCTACCAAAGAAGGCTGATGTTTGTTTCTAATTCATTATTCTGTTTGTAGGAATGTGTTGATTATGAAGGCACCAAATATACTAATTAACCTTAGTGGTAACTTATACTTCCCCCAATGTGTTTCTTCTTCCTTTCCTTTACTGTAGCCCCGTACTTTCTTTTATCAGCATAATTGGTGATGTCACATCAAACTTTACAACAGACCCTCAGAGTTATTTTGTTTTAATGATTATGGTTTAGGTAGTGTCATCAGTTAGGTAGCGTCAGAGGTATTGATTTAATTTTGACTTCAGTTTCATTAAAACCTTAAAATCAAGAATTTGTCCAGAATATTTATTGTATCTCAAATACCTTACAATGTGGTATATATATTACTGCCTCAAGTACAGTCAGCATGCACAGTAACTTACATTCATTGAGATCAAACCCATAGGAATCATACCATATAAACAAATCTCTGAGTATTCTATAATATCAGCAAAAGCTAGCAAAAACAAGAGAAAAGCTCACAGACTCACTAAGGGTAGATTTACAATGGGAACATTCCTACTATGCTCTCAGCATTCCTACCATAAATCCACCTAAACCAACTTTCGCTTACCATTTACAGTGTACTATTCAGCACTTCCAAACAAAAACAATAAAAACAAGACTAGTTAATTTATGATCTCACATAAAAGTTGGTTCATGTCTTGAATGTATACGACATTACTACATCCAATAAAATTAAACACAAGTTTGGAATGCTTCATTAACATCACATATACTCATCAAAATTACTTATAAAATATATCAACAATAACAAAATCTTTGTACCATATGTCAGAGGTGTTAGTCTTAAGCTGATATCCACAAAACAGGATGAACATCTGTCAATGAGAGGTTCTACAAAATTTTAAATAAAAAAAGAATATAATTCAGACAACATTAAAGGCACACCCAAAAATTAATCCGGCGTACAAGGATGTGGATCACAAAGTGCATTTCAACAGCTTTTAAAATCTTGACATTTATTGCTAAACGCCACTATCACCAATACTACAAATGAGTGTTTACTGCCATGCATTAAGCATTAACACAGAGTGCTCAACAACATCTTGAGGAAGGTGTGCCCTTGCTCAAAAACAACACACATCATGGAATAAAATTGCATAAATATATGCATATTTCAAAAACAATTATTAAAATTGACAGTCACTAGCAAAAATATACCTAAATTCGACAGATGAAATGAGATACAGATATCTCCATGAATGAATAGAACACGATATGCAACTGAGATATCACTTAATCAGTCTCATCTAGTGCTCATGAGCAATCTCGTATACCAAACTCTGATATCATAAAAAATAATGACTGATTTCAATGAGATCTATAGCACAAATCATAAAATTGGTCACAAAATAATAGTTGCCTGAACCATCCTGACCTTAAAGGATCAAAAACAAATATAGATTGTAAGAGAATGTGTGATATTAAAAAAAAAAACAACACACACACACACACACACAAAAAACGAGTAGCAATAAAAACAGAAGTACACACCTTGCGTAATAAATAAAACAGTAACTTATCTAGACCATGTGGACATCAATATTGATATAAATAGGTGCTCATTTCACAAAAAAATAATCATGTTTGGAAAATATTTTTGCCTATCAAGACTATCACAGAAAGCTAGTTATCACTCTACTTTCTGCCATCTACTAAATCTCATTTGGTTTAAGGCCAAACCTTATTAAAATACTCCATAAAACTATCATAGATCATGAATGAGATGGCAACGTCCAATGTAACGCGTCCAAGGCGAGGAACTGTACCCTTATAGAACCTGGATGTAGCAAACAAAATAATTAGCTAGGGAAGTTCAGAATAGTGCTAGTTAGACAGAGTGTAAGAATTGAACTTACGCAATTGGTCCTTCATTCTTCCAAATTTGAATAGCACAATCTAGTGTATTTTTATACTTATTAGCATCCAAACCCTAAAGTAAATTTGCCAATAAAGTTTCAAATATTTTAAAAATAAAAATAGATTTTTCATTCTTATTACACCAGGCATATGCAGAAGGTCTGGTAAGTAATTCTCACCTGCATTCTTGTTTTAACTACATCAATAGGAGTGTTTCCAAAAACTGACACAGTGCCAGCAATTCCGCCAAAAAACCCACTGATAAGTGGGGGAACCACTACGGAGTTATCTCCACCTCGATATATGTCTTTTAAAGTGTCAACAACGAAGAAACGCATTGCTTGGTTGGTACCCTGTTTTAATATCGTAGGTGTCACTCCCTTATAAACTCCTCCTACACCTACTCAAGAATCAAAATAAATATTGAAGATTTAAAATAGCACTCTAATGATACTATACAATGATACGAACCTTGCTCCTTGACAATAGTCCTGACGCCATGAAAAAACCCTCTAAAGCGAGGTTGTGCTAATCGTTGGTCATCAATAAATTTAACTTTAATGGTTTCCATTGGAGTCACAGCAAAAACAGCTTCGCACACTCCAGCACCCAAACCACAAAGAAGACGAGTTGAAGCATTTAAATTACCTTTCCCATCAACCATTTTTCCTTTAAGTTCTTCAAATACTCCAAATCTGAAATATATTTTTCAAAGATAAATAGCAGTAGAAAAATTAGATTAGAAAAACAGGTTTTAAGTTTCATTCACAGGGGGTCAACAAAGTTAGTGAACAAGCAAAGCATACCGCACAGCAGACTTTGGGATGGAGCCATAAATTAAGACACTGAGACCTCTGTATAATCCAAAAACACCTTTGGACTGAATTGTTTTTTTAACACAATCAACAATGCCTGTATACTGCTTCTGGCGTCCAACATTTCCACCTCCCTTCTCATCAAGCTGAAGCTGTGTCTTAACATATTCTGTAGGATATGTTATAGTTATCTCCAAGGCACCTGTAATGCCACCTGTAAAGTTGATAAAATGGGCAACATTTACTAGGATGGGTTTCTGTTTCCTATAGTAGACATGGTAAGAATATATTAGGCAGAGCGTGGATAAGAAATCTTATGATAATCAAGGAGGTAAGAGCAATATATGTTGCATTGATTCCTGATCGGACAAATATTAAACGAACGTCAAATTAATACTAATATGAATTAAATTACTTTTTAAAAATAAGAGGGCGTGATGCAAAATGAATGTTTTACATAGTTATTTAAGTCTAGCACATGCTTCCCGTAGCTTTAAAAATAAGATATTTTAAATCAGAATACGGCTATATGCATCTTAAAATTTCAAGAGATCATTACTACACTGAGTAAAAGAGTAAACATGTATCGTTCCTGTCACCATCAATGCCGTCGCATATGACGGCCAATAGCAGACAAATATTTGGAGTACGTAAGGAGTCATGACTTTATTAGCAACTTTAATTAAATAGTTAAGAAACAACCAAATATCGGTCAATATTGCAAACTAACCTGCAATAGCACCTTTCAGACCCGTATTAGAGCTAGGGGTTGCAAGAGGCACCCCGGTGCGGGTTACCCACGGTCTTTGAGGGAAGGGGTTTCTGAAATGGGGTGTGGGTCGCGCTTCCATGCTGATATGTTGTTCAAGTTAGAAGTCAATCCGAATCGAATCTCTCAGAGTTCAAGGAGTTTATTCCTGAGTTTATTGATGACACTGGAGAACCGTGTCTTCTTATATAGTCTGTCGCTCCAGCAATATCGGTCAGTATATGGCAGAAAGAAAATGCACGCTATAAGGCACCTTAAACGCAACGTTTTGACAGACCTTTCGGAAAAAGTATGGTACTAACTGATGATAGGCTAATGATACTAATAATGACGAATTGAGAACAATGCGGGCAAATAGAAAGCACAGGCAGGGAGCGGTCGTCTGCTGGCTCTGTCAAGGCTAAGGCTGTCGGCTGTCAAGGGATGGAGGAAGGACGGAAAGGGGAGGAAGGGGGTGGGGGATGCAGGAGGGGGTGGTAGAGATCGAGCGGCAACTGTGGCAAATCGAGACGGTCATGCGGGAAACCTTGAGAAAGTGCCGCCCTTTCTCAAGGAGAAACCATCAAGTTGCGCCTTGTTCTCAGTATCTGCAACTAAAAGTAAGGAAAAATGCAGCTTACATGTCACGTAAGGTCCTTGTTTTTAATAGGAGCGTCAAAACAATCAATAAAAATACAAACACTTACTTTACATATCTATAATATGAAATAATAATACAGAATTAGACAAAAAAGCTGGGAGAAGCATTTACACAACATATATAAACAATAATAACAAACAGTATGTTGCTAAAAAACATAATACGATGGTTAAAATTTTTTATGAGGGATTGCTTAGAAAAGATAGTGCTATCTTATTATTGAACATATTTCTTGAAAAATTAGTAGAATAATTTTTCTCTGGCAAAGCATAAAAATGCCACTTTTTAAAAGTAAGACTTTCTTTCACATTTTGTGAAACAAACTAAAGGCTGGTCTAGTCGACTGAATAAATGTTAATACGAAGTACTAAGAAATCAATTTTTCCTTTTAGGTATTGTGGGAACTGGTGGGTGTGATGACACGTCGTCTTCAGGATTTACAGCAGCTGGAGGAAGAATTACTGATGGGATATGATCAAGTAAGCCATCTTGACATAGTGCAAGGCGATCACATCTTCTCATATTAAGGTACCGAAGAGATTTACAATTTGTGCCAATTGCCAACAGGCTGGCATCCGTGAGCTTCTGACATTCCTGAACAACACATGAAAATATTTGCATATTCATAGAAAATAACAAAAATGTGTACTTTGTTATCATTTCAGGCTGAAGTCTTACAGATAAATCCAAATGCTTCAATCGCTTCAGATTAATACTGATTGCCTCCACTGCTTCATTGCAAATACTGTAGCACATACTTAAAATCAGAGTCTCAAGGCTAGGATTGTTCAGAGCAAGAGCTTTTATTCCAGATTGTGTAACCTGTAAAAGAGAAGAGGTATTACTCACTTTCTATTAAAAATTGCTGTGGTGATAAAATAACACGGGGAAACAATGTAAATGAGAAACCTATACACCAATATGATACCTGACAACACTGTGTTAGATCCAAAGACTTGAGTTCTAAAAACTTAAATGCATGGCATAAACTGATATCAGTTATCCTCGAACACCCTGACAAGTTCAGATTGCGTAACCCTGTTGTAAAAGATCACACATATTGTAGAAAACAGACAGTAAATAAAAGAATGACACAAAATTAATCAATGCGTACCTTTTAGGCGTGTCAAGGAGTATCCTACATTACTTGATGAAGGTATTGAGTATTCAAAAAGCTGCAAAATAGCTTTCTTACGTTCTGCATCTTTCACAATTTCCTCTTCTGCTCGACTTTTCAATGATATGCGAAGTCTTGACTTGACACCACAAGCAAAATTACTTTCTTCTAATAGATTCATTGTTGTTAAATTAGGGGTTGAAGCCATAGATGAATGAGTTACCATACCAGTGAGTCCAACATCAGTTATTCTATTGCATCCTGAAAGTTTCAAATATTGGAGCCAAACCTGAAAATAAACTCGTTTAGATTATCTAAAATTTAAAATTACAAAACAAAGTGAAGATAACAATTTGTTGTTTTCTGTTCAGAAGTTTGTGGGCATGTAGAAAACAAACCTGGTGTTGAAATATGGCCTGCAGAGCTGCATCTGTAACAGCTGTAATGCAGTACCCCAAATCTAGGTGAGTGAGATTAGGCAAGGATTCAGCAAGCTTCATGACAGTATCCTCAGTCATGTTATTTATCCCACTAAGGTAGAGTTGCCGGAGAGTATAATTAATTCCGTTACACAATCCAATCAAAATTCCATCAGATGTTACCTGAAAGACAATGAAGGGGAAATAAATGTAATAAAAAAAGACAAGTCAAACACCATAAATCTACCATAACCTTGGATTTACTATTTACCATATCACAGTTTGAAAGGTCCAATTTAACAAGATTTTTTAAAGCTTGAATTTCTGAGACACCAATGTTGCTGATAGCTCTACAGCGACGAACGCACAGGTTTTGAAGGCCAGATAAACTTCGGCAGATTGCAATCAATGAGGGGTCAGTAACACGGGAGCAGCAACTAAGATCTAAGCTTACAAGACTTGTTTGGTGCTCAGTGAGAGCAACAACACCAACATTTGTCAGCTGCTCACACCCTGCTAACATTAAGTTTTTCAGGCGTAAATCTGCAACCTACAAAGTCATGTTTGTTGAACTGTATCTTTATTGTGAAGTTATTTAACAGAAATAAAATTTTAAAAATTACCTTGGAAAGTTGAGTTAGGCCTGGACTATCAATTAGGGTATGACTGAAAGAAAGAGTATGCAGCTGCAGGGACATTGAAGTAATATGATGAAGAATATTTCTGAAAGTAAGAATACTTGATGACTCCATAACTTTAAATTCAGAGTCATTCTTTTCGTCAAAGGTTTTAAATCCTTCTGGTGAATGATTAGGATAAAATTTCTTGTACAATCCACAATGAAATGATATCTGTAATCACAGGTATGTTTCCAAATAGACAATTAACATAAAACTAGCAAGACTCTGAGAACAAAATGTATCAGATGACTTACTTGACACCCTTCCAATGAAATGGATTGCAGATTTGGAGCAATGGCAATCAAGCGATTAAGAAGAGCATCTGATAAATAACTGTTGTGAGAAACAACAATCTCTTTCAAGTTGACGAGAACATTTTGCAGAAGTTTTATTTCCTCTTGGTCACGTAAAAGTCCACCTGACCTACATTTTTAAAACGCACATGAGAAATAAGGTTAACTTTTTTGTTTAAATATTTACTTTGAGTGTATGTTATGAACACCACTTACATTAATAATTCTCTACAGCCACTAATTCGAAGGGTCTCTAAGCTTTGACAAAGCGATAAAATGTTGATAAAATCTCGTTCACGTAGCTCACAGTTAAATATGTGGAGGGATTTCAAACTTGGTGCAAACTGATGCCATACACCAGGCCAGTTCCATCGTACTTCTTCTTCCTGTACTTAACATTACTTATCAAAATTAACATCTTTTCAAACATACTTAGAGTCGAAAGTTTATATTTGAGATAACCTCACCTTGAATAGAAAATGAAGGAATTCTCTGTTGCTATTAACAATATCGGGAACGGGCGTTCTAGGTGTTCCCTGATTATCCTCATCCCAATGGAAATTTACAACTTCCTTGAACAGCAGCTTTGGATCTTGAGAGGCCTCATACCAAGAGCGACAGACAAGCCGAGCACTTTTCAAATCCGACAAGTGTAAATATTGGAATATGTACATAAGGACCTAAGATGACGAGTTCAACAACAATTAAAGCAACACTACCAGAGGAAGGTAAATTAACAAGTGAAAATTCTAACCTCAATGGGCAAACAATGTTGAGGGTTGCGTTCCTCTTCATTCCTTTGAGAAGTGTCACCTATCATTTTTGCTTCAAATGCTTATGAAAAGGAAAGGAGTGTTCTCTGACTATTATGTCACGAGGCCACGAGAGTGACACAATCCAAACCGAACGACTTCTACATTTCCGTGTTGTGAATCAGCTGATGCAGGGAGCCAGACGACGCTATCGCTATCAGAT